TATATATATATATATATTGTATGTATATTGGAAAGGAGGGAATTAGCTGATGATTCAGTCTTTTAGTTTAAAAAAATATATATAAAATCTGAGCAAAAAAGCCCAACTGGAGTTATGGCATGACAACATAGAAATCTCTTCGGCTGCTTTATCCTGAAAACTGTGGAGGAGGGGGATGGAACTGTAATGTGCTCTGTAACTTTTGTTCAGAACTTTTTTGATCTCATAATACTTAGTGAATTACACTTCAGATGCATGCCAAAACATACATGTCTTCGTATAAAGTATCTGTTGATGCTGCCCAGATTTAGCCAAAATCACATGAAATGTGCTGACAAATATTAGATAAAAACGGCCAGACACAAAATTTCATGAAAAACTGCTCAGCATTACTTGAGCTATCACATGCTGGCAGGCAGACAGACATGGCATATTAAGGTGCATTCTTAACACGAAAGGAGAGAAATCTGTAGCAGATGCACCATTTTACACAGCTACATTATAAAAGTACTGAACAAAAGTGCTTCTCACAAAATGTTACCATATCCAGTGATGGAATATACCAAGTTCCAGAATTAAAGTTGGCTGTCGATGGTACATAAGATCCAAACAGAGGCAGTCACCAGACAATGCATGCAAGTCCCTGAATGTCAGAAATTTCCTATCCTTCTACATATACATACAAGTTCACTGAAGCTTGAAACTTATCATAGTTATTATGCAATTTCCCACTATGGCACAAATTTTTGAGAGTTAATGTGATGAATGAATGTAGCTCTGCAAACGATACAAATGAGCAAGCAGCATCTTGTTTCAGTGCGCCATGTCTATTCTGTGAGCATTTATAACATTTTTATGTCAACATATGACGTATACTACACAATCAATCATTTTTGTTATTCATGGGAGATAACATTAACTGTTGACTTCGACAAATCATCTGATAACATGAAGAATTGGAAAGGAACACGGGAAAAATTAGGGTAAGTTAATAGTGTTAAAGCTTATACAACAAATGACGAGACTCCCCACTGAAGTCTTAATAGGTGTTATATCTCAGGAAATTCATTATACAAGGCCTACAGTGCATCACACTATCTACTGAAAAATGGATAAATCTTCCATCACCTGCTCTGCTGAAAGAGAAACATTGAAACTGTGGTTTATTAACTATTGTACCCAACGTATGCAAAAGAAACCAGTGGAATGGATGATATTACAAGGCAGTAAGTATATCCAGTATTTAAAAAATAAATGTCTAGCATTTTCAACACTCTAATGCGAATTATCAATTACTTTAAGGCAATAGCACATTTAAAACTATACTTATGAGAAGAATAAAATAAGCTTCATTATGTCTTTTATTAAAAAACTAGCAGAACTATATTTACTGCCCAAAAATAGTATTAAAAAGATGCACAAAGACAAAATTTATGGGGACATTAGTTGATTTCAAAACTCCTTATATAATCAGATTTTAAAAACCACTTGGAAAAGTGTGGGAACTACGAACATATAACTGAGTTAATCATAAACTGTCTCACATCTAAACCCAAAATCAGATATTCCTTTTAACATCTCAATTAGAAGTAATGGTAAAAATTTAGACGGACACAATCAATAAAGGTCTTGTAATGCTTTACACCTAGCAGTCACCCAGCTTCCAAACCATGTGGAAAGAGTTGTATGAGAACTCCACTGTCTCCACCATCACTAGTGAATAAAGAGTCCTGTCTCAACAGAACTCCGACAGGACCAATATTTATATACCACTTCTGATATCTTAAAATGTTCATATTTTAAGAGTTTACTTTTACATTATGTATTAATTCTTTTTATACAGGGTGTCCCAGGAAGAATGGACCAAACTTCGGGAGGGTGTTCCTTATGTTAAAGTATGCCGATATAACCCAAAACACCTATGTCCAAAGTTGAACGGTTACGGAGATAATGGCCCAAGAAAAGTGTCTTCTGGTGGGTCCACACACTGTACCTGTCAGCTGAGAGGCCTTATCTATGTTTGTCCTTGAGTGCCGTGATTCACCCTAGCCGTACTTATGTAGCTGGCTTTGTGAGAATGCGCAGTCAGTCATATTACGTCATCGCTCGCCAGTCATGTGTCATGTATAGTGCTTGGAAACCCTAAGGACAATTATGACATGGCGAGCGAGTACTTTGTACTTCAATTTTATGGCTTCATGTCACTCACAAGTTAGTTTTATGTTACGTACATTATTAACATTACAGAATCCACATATTCCTGCCAGTTTTAATATGTATTTTGTAATCGCCGGTCAAAGTTTGACACTTCTCTGGCCATCATCTCCGTAACCGTTCAACTTTGGACATAGGTGTTTTGGGTTATATAGGCATACTTTAACATAAGGAACACCCTCCCGAAGTTTGGTCCATTCCTCCTGGGACACCCTGTATATAAAGTATGGGAGAATTCTGCGTGGACCTGCTCCCACTGTGATCTATGGTTAAACACCTTACTCTTTGTAAAAATACAATGCCCTGTGGCTCAGGGGTGGACTGGAACTCCATTATGCTCACATTAACAAATGCACCTGCACAAACATGTATGCATATACAATATCTTGTCACACAATTAAAACGGAGATTAAAAACAAGAAACCTAAAATGTTAAGATAAATTTCTCACACTGTAGTTGAACCATTCATTACCTGGAAGGGCAGTGAGTTAAGACATGGTAACACAAGTGGAGGAGAATTGAATGGATATCATCCAGAATCCTGTTAAGTGGTTGGAGTTTTCTGGCCAGATGGCAACAGAAGACACTTGTGAAAGGAAAGATAACATACACTGAAAAACACAAGCAAGTGGCACATGAATGCAAAATGCCCTAAATCCATGGCCCACAAAGCAGAGCCCTCGATGATCTTGCAACCTATGCTACCTGAAGATTCTGATAAACCTTTTCATAGACCATACAAAATGTGAGTTATAATTCTGGTAAACTACTTTCCTGACATTAGTGCAAACAGATCATAAATTTCCCAAACTACTTTTTATATAGCAAAGCACTGATGTTGGTACAGTCCACCCCTAGCCTTGCCTATGGCAAATCATGTATTTTTACAGGGGAAGAAAAGAAAGGAAAAAAAGAAAGAAGAAGAAGAAAAGCAGGATAATGTGGTCTGAAATATTCAGCTATAAGTATCTGTGGAACTCTTCAACTGATTAATCTGAGATTCCTAATATCGATATCACTCAAATACCTGTTCTGCTGTTGGGACTGGCACAAGAATTTGTGGTAGGAGAATCACACTCCTCACTAATGGCCTGTCGCAGCCACCTCTTCTTTGCGGAACCAACACCACCTCCTGGAGCAGATGGTGCTCCTTTACTGCCAAGGCTTGCTCTGCTGGAATGAGGTGTTGGTGACGTGCTAGATCCCAATGCTACTCTGTTAGCTGCTTGAGCAAGAGTTGCTAGTGACTTTGAAGGTGAATGATGAGCGGAATAACCGTAGCTGTCAGCTACTTGTGGATTTAATATGAGATCTGTTGGATTAAGGGGGAGGTCATTTGGGCGTAAAAGGATGGGAGATGTCAAGGGGACAGGAATGGTTGATGGAGTTGAAGGAAGTTCAGGTGACTTGTTAAGCCATTCATTCATCAGGACCTGGACACACAAAGGAAAGCGCACTTGTGAAAACCCTAGCATATGTTACAAAAACCCCTTCTAATAAACAGTCATCATGAGTACAAGAGGTTGTTTTAGTAAGAAAACTTTCAAGTTCAGATAATGTTAGAAATGTTGATTGTCAAATTATTCACTACTTTCATATTTACATGATAACTGATTAAAAAAAACTTGGGAAATGTTAGCATAGAGTAACAATTCTGGTATTTCCTGCAAGCAGCATAAAATGCTCCTTAACTATCTTAAAAAATGACTAAAAGGAAAACTGTATTGGGAATAAAATGTTTCACCTTCTACTTTTATTTGAAAAAATGTTCATTCTGATAATTATTGGGCAAGTTATGTCAAAGTCATGTGAGCAGAAATGAATTCTGGCCTTCATGTACGGTAACAATCTTTGTTGTCCGATTTTAACTGAAACTGAAATGGGCTGACAAATTTCAGTAAATTCCAAAACTGAATTTCACAAATATGTGTTTACCAGTGCTTGAATTTGGACATTAAAACAAAGAGCTGAACAGACAACACTAAGCTAATATATACGCTCGCATCTGTTCCTTGTGAATACATAGAAAAGGGCAAATACAGCCATACCTGATCACTTTTATTACACCTTTGTGCCATGAATATGAAATCAGATGTTAGGAAAGACTTACAGATAATGTATTTCAACAATTTTTGGATTATTATGAATATCTATCACAGTGAACACTTTCAGAAATGTTATAAATCTTGTTATATTGGGACCGCACTGTATTTGAACTACCTCCTGCAAAACTGCAGTTTTAACTGCATACAATTATTTCCCACATACTGAGCACCATTTTATCATCATGAAGCAACAGTTTATTCATTAATGCTTTTACAACAGTTACTTTTTCCCAAAACAATTTGGTCATTAAAAACTTCAACCCCTAATAAGAGATGACCATGGAAAATTACAGCTTCCACATGCTAATGCTCACATGAACTTGAAGCTGGGCATACCTCAACAGTCATTCTACATACACAGTCTCTCTCTAATGCTTTGCTAACACCCAAAAGCAGCTGAACCTAAATGGTAATCCACCTACTTTATTATCAACAAGTTTTATGAATCTATTTTTGGTCATTTTAAATTTCTGTATTTCATTTAAATCACCTCAGTTTGCAAGTGTGCAGACTGCCTATTAGTGGTGTGTTACCAGATGCTCTGAAATTTACCACCATAATCAGTAAATCAAGCAGACCAGCGGCTTTATTTACTATAATGTGAGTAACATGGAGCCACAAAGATAGGAATAAACTGTAAAACATTCACAATGGAAAACTGAATGTAGAAGGAAGGTCGACCAATGGGCCAGTCAGACAGGGGAGTCCACAATGATAACACAGATGGAAGATCTTATTTGTTGATTCCAATCTCACTTGCATACAACGGGATATCAAAGTGGGGTCAACTGATGGATGCAACAAACAGTAGGATCCATCAATTCACTGGTAATATAAAAGGCTAAAGACAGGGTGTGGCAGTCCAGATAAATACTCAACTCCATACAGTGTTTTCAGGTTGTACTTTGCAGCTGTTATCACTCTGTTGGTGAAGGAGACCAACTGATACTACCAACAATACTTGCACTGCCTTGACAATGGACATTCTCCAGCTCCCTTTGTCAGTGAATCTGAAAAGTTTCTGATTATTACTAAAATGGGATATGACATATGCAACAACCTGAAAGCTTACTGGTCAACGACTGAACATTTATTTCCACTTTGTTATGAAAAACAATGATATGTGTCAGATTTCCTCATATTCCTAAGATTTCTCCACTTTTCAAAAGACAACGCTATTAAAAATTATGACCCAAACTACAACTCTATGGAAAAGAAGACACATTTGCAACTTGCTGAATGACACGTGTTGTAAATACTGTGCCCCTTCTGAACATGTGGCCGCAGAAAAATTTACAACAGTACTTTTCAAGGAGAGCCTAATTTTCAAACACATACCCAAGAAACACAAATGTTCAGAAATCAATGTTTATACATTATGTGACATGTCTGGTTACACATGATATGGACCACTACTTAGAGGACAGGACATGCACACCTACAGATATGACAAGAACACATGCCATCAACAAATAATAGGAAAGACAAGGATGTCAGCTACATGGGCAACTTCTGTTGCCTGGCTTATTCCATGATCTGAGAAAAGAGAACAATTATCGTGGGACAGTCAGACCTAACAAAGCTGCTATCATGGGACCTGCTTTCACCAACAACTAAAATGAGTTCACTTTCACTCTACAAGAAGACGACTTGACAACAATTACCTGAAGAGGTAGATATGATGTACATGTACTGATAAAGAGGCACCATCCACCAACAAACAGTAACTCTTGTGATGAGCATGGAAATGCTACAAAGTCAGCATTAAGATATGACAACAAAGGGCACAGAATGGTGAACAGTTACTTAACACACAAGTCAAGGAAGTGTACAAAGAAATTACTCTTTGAAATATTACAGTTGACAATTTTGAATAGATTCTTCCACCTGGCTTTATGGGGTACCAAACATGAACGATTCCGACTTGTTCCTGTGTGGAACTTAAAAAGGCTAGTTTACCTTACCCACAACGACCCATAAGCACACCACTGGTTTTTGGGGAAACAAATTATTCAGCTCAAGGTAGACTCAGTAACCACTGGCCAGTTCAATCCTCCAGATTGTATACTTCCATATTTATTCACATATGGAATGAAAAAGAGGACAAGTCAAGTGTAAAGAATGCTGATGTGGGACATCATCATATTGGTGTCCACTCTGAAGCCTGAAACACCAAACTAAGCTATAATATGGAATGTAAACATATTTGGAAATTTTGACCATATTTCACCAAATATGAGGTTCTATCAGAAAGTTCCCCAACAGTTATTGTAACTGCGTCTCATTGTTCTTTCATCACGACAATGTACCTGCCCACACGTCCTGAAAACCATAGAGTTTGTGGCTAACTACAACATGGTTATTGTTCCTCATCCTCCCTACTTGGTTAGACTTAGCCCCGTAATTTTACTTTGTTTCCCAAATTCAAAATTAAACTGAAAGGACGACGTTCTGAAACAGTGTCTGACATCCAAAGGAAATCACCAGTGGTACCTGACAGCATTAAGGAAAAATGACTTCTACAGTGCTTTTGAAGGGGATGAGAGGCTAAATTGAGTAGCTTAAGCCAGTATTTCTTTTTCGACCTAGTGTGGGAACTTTCCAATACACATATGTAAAAGAAAAGATTTGCATGTTTCTTGCTGGGCACTCCAGAGTAATGAACTTACAGTTTGTCAGGCTGTGTTCAAATACAGTTTAAAGACAAGGGCATGGTCAAGCAAGATGATAAATGTTAACAAGTAACCGAGACCCTAATGGATTCCTCAAGAAACCAGAATCTAGTAACTACACACTGTTCAGAGCACAGGCTGATTGGACACTGATTCTACCGTCATCAACTTCCTGCAAAGGCACTGCGCCAGTTGCCGAGAAAAATGCTGCCATACCGCCAGAAGTGCTAGCACACACTGTTTACTTCTTTCATTAATTATTAATCAAATATAGTAATTAACATTGTACTCACCATCATAGGAGATGTTCAAAATGTCTTTCCCCTGCTGTGAGATATGTCTAAATTCCTTTAAACAGATTTTGGGAAATTTGTTGCAATTCACATTGCTGTATGTTGTAAACTGCTTCACAAATATTCTGTTTTAGAGCCTCCAGGTCATGTGGATTGTTGGCATACACAACACTTTCGAGTTTTCCCCACAAATAAAAATCACAAGGGTTTAGATGTGGGGATCTAGGGGGAAAACGAAACCTTGATAATAATTCTATCCTCCTATTAATTCCCCGAACACACTACATAATGCTTGGACAGTTTCCTTAGCCGTGTGCCATCTTGCATAAAATAACCGAATCTTTCTTCTGCAGGTGCCAAATTAACGAAAAATGGATTTATTATTTCATTAATGTATCAATGATCATCAAGAATTCCTTCATAAAATATTGGTCCAATGATATGGTTTGCACTAATCACACAAATTACACCTATCTTTTGGTCATAAAGCGAAAGTTGAATTAGGCCATCAGGAATTTCACTACTCCAATACCTATTGTTTTGTGAGTTAAAACATCCCAAGAGATTAAAATTAGTCTCATCTGTGAAAAAGGTCAGCTTAGGATCAATAAGTCTGTCACATACATGATTCATACATCAATTACAAAACACCACTATTCTTTCATAATCCACAGGTCTAATTTCACAAAAAGAAGGAATTTTGTATGGAAGAATGCACAATAGTTCAATTGCTGTCCACACTCTCTCTACAGAAATACCACTTTCTTGTGCTAATTGCAGCAAAGATTTTCGAGAAGAATTTTCTAATCAATGAGCAATGCCATCAAGTTTTTTTTTTCAGTTAAAACGGTGTTTTTATTGGCTTTCTGTCAATTAAAATACCAGTGGTTCAAACTCCTTCACTAATTTGTAAACTGTATCACCAGATGGACATGCTGTGTCAGGCAGTTTATGGCAAAATTTTCTCCTGCACGATTTGTAAAAGTTCCTTTTTCACATAACAATCATAAATGAAAACTCTGTTCTAAATTGTATCTCATGTAAGCCATAAACAATCATAACAAAACAAAAATAAGTTACTATAACATTCTATGGCATAATGTTGATTGACTCACTGATCAGGTGATCACCCAATGAATGAACTTCAGTTTGCTGGGTCATACCACAGTGTCTGCTGAGACGCTCCCTGGATGTCTAATAAGCCTGCACAACGAACATGTGGTATAGGAATAGCAACAGCAATAAACAAACATACCTTCTTTGTCTTTGGGAACTTGAATCCTGGTGCAAGAGGTCCAACAGCTGCTGCAACCAGTAAACAGGCTGAGGACAGAGGTGTGGGAGGTGTGGAGCCTTGTGAGCTACCACTGCCACTACTATTTGCATTGTCACAAAATAATGTGGGGTTTACTCCGCCTTGCGCTTGTGATGTAGTGCTCCCTGGTAACTGAAATCACAATTACCAAGGTAAATTTCATGCACTAGATAGACCAGAGAAGTTACTCAAGAACTTTACTGGATTATACAGTTTCAACAAATGTAAAATACAAGTTTTCTTATTACATTTTTGAATGGCCCTGTTCCTCAGTTCTTCAAACGGTGGTGATTAATCCATTCTCTTCAGACATTCCAAAAGAAATTCATTTATAGAGCAAGGGGGAAATCCTCATTACATGTCATGCTTCATCAGACCACATCGTCTACTTACCCTGTCAAGATGTGGTGGAGTATGTTGATATGAGGGAACTGAGTTTTGCTGTGGTGTACTACCATTGGCTAGGGCTAGCAGCAAGCCTGCAGCTGCTGACACTGGAGAAGACTGATGGCTGCCTGCAGGATTTATACCAGAAGTCTGTGAAGATTGCAGAAGCCCTGTGCTTGATGCAACTCCAACAGCTTCATCTGCAGATGTCATGTCTGAGTCTCCGGAGTTTAATCGTGTTCTTCTCCTTTGTGGTGGTGGCGGATGTTGTGACATACTGCTTGTCCTTCCACGACCCTTACGTCTGTCAACCACATAACAATAATAATACAATAATGATAACACTGCTGATGACATTAAAATAGGATACACTCATCACGTGTGCACACCTCAAATTCAGGCCTTCAATGCATACCTATTACATACAAAAATGAATAACTTGGTGAAACAAAATACTTTTGACAATTTTCTTCATGCCTTCCACAGTGAAATTAAGTCTTATCCCCCCAAACCAAAACTGCATACTGATGTGCTTCATAAATTGCACTCTTCACCAATTATAAATAGAATGATCAAGTCTCGGAGGATGAGGTAGGCAGGGCATGTAGCACAAATGGGGTTGAAGATGAATGCATATACAATATTGGTGGGAGAGCCAGATGGAAAGAGACTACTAGGAAGACCAAGATGTAGGTGGGTAGCTAATATTAAAATGGATCTTACAGAGACAGGATGGGATGGTATGGACTTGACTGGACTAACTCAAGATAGAGACCATTAGAGGGCTCTTATGAACATGGTAATGAACCTTCAGGTTCCATAAGACGTTAGGAGGTTCTTGAATAGCCACAAAACTGGTGGCTTCTCAGGAAGGGTTCAACTCCATGAAGATACTTAGTTAGCTAGTTAGCCCCTCAAGCCAGTCATTAGCCTGGGAATGAATACAAACAAAAGCAGTAATATTCCTCTTTGTACCATTTTCAATTGCATTTGTATATATAAAATGGAGTATCTCAAAATTTCTTTGGTCGAATGGTACCACAATTTTGCATGGAAAATATTAAATTATAGCTATACAACAGGAAATCTGTACTAGTGCCAACTAAAAAAAATAAAACCTACCGCTCTTCCTTTCCAACAGGGCTGCAGCTTCTGATCCATTCACAACACACATCCCCACATTATATTACCCAACACTTTGGTCTGACAATGTATTTACTTTCTCTCTGTCTTATCCATGTTGTGTAACACAATGATTATGGCAACATGTTCGTCTTTGCCCACAGTTTCTCCCTTCTGAAGCTTTCAGTTTCTTATGCAGGCTGGAACATGCTTCCTACTCAATCTAAGACTGTCTGTGACATTTACTCCTAATCCTCTCAGCAATGCTGCCAAGTATGGTGAGCTAGAGAAGTTAAAAGTTGTCTGTGTTTTAACTAATTAAGCACTACGCCATGAAGAGATATGGGGGAGTAGATGCAGAGAGCCATCTTTTCTTGACCTCAACACTATTTGGAGGTGGGAGCTCAGCATCATGCCCCGGCCGCTGCACCCCCAGAAAGAGCCCCCAGTATCCATTGTATAGGAAGCTGGGAAAATTAAAAAGTACTATGCCATGAAGACACATAGGGGAGTGGATCAATTGATCCATGTTTTCTTGACCTTGGCATTAGCCGGAGGTGAGTGGTCAGCTTCACGCTCCGGCCGCTTTACCTTTGGGGAAAAAGCCCCTGGTATCCACTGGATAGGAGGCTTTGTGGGCTCCAGAGCCGGTCTGGACGACGTGGAAAAAATTCTTCACCCTACTGAGATTCAAATTCCAACTCCTCGGTTGTCCAGCCCATAGTCAGTCGCTATACTGACTGCAGTACAAAGGGCAATATTACCTGCTGATGATACTTATTGTTGCAAATAAAACATCAATATTTTCTTCACATTTATCTTATAGCTGATGCAATGCAACGATGCAATGTAGCCAAACTTACTGCTGTCCTCCCTTTCTTTGGCTTATCAACTTCTCTTTCAACCACATTCAGTTATTTGCAAGCCATGATGGGCACAAATAACATATGACATTTATGGATATTTTATCTTTCTGGTAGAAATCACACTCACAGCAGGAGAGCTCTTCTGCTGCCACCATTACAGGGAAACGCAGCAAGTTTAATGTATGAGAAATTAGCAGAAATAACACCACCACTGCCTTGCTTCCATGTTAACTCACTACAGATGAGCCTTCTTCATTTTGTTTTTGAGTTTCAGTCAGACAGCGAAACATTATTTGCAGATATAATTATGTTAGATTTTGTAAATATTGATGGTGGTATCCCCACCCCCACAAGGTACATGAGTGTGTGAATTTTTTTGGTAAAACCACTATTACACAAGTACTTACTTAGTTCAATGTGAAGATGTAATAATAAAATTATTTCGGTAATCTCCCAAAGTTGGTATCAATGACATTTTACTGTACCTCCTCACACTTAATTATCTGATAAAAGTTTCAAACCTTAATAATGTATAACACATACCTTTTCCTTCCCTGTCTATCAGCTGCAGCAGACTTAGCAGTAACACTGGACACATTACACCTCAGACCTTCATCCTTCACTTCACCTAAAACTTTGTTCGCATCTAACAATGGTTCCTTCTTAGGCATTCCATTATTTGCAGCTTCATTTTGATGATCCTTACGATGAGCCTGCTTCGCTTGATTTTCTTGACGTCGTTGTTCTGCTTTCTCTAGTCGTTCAAATGCCTTCATGATTGCTTCCATTTTACGTTCTTCACGAGTCTATAAAAATCAGCGTTGAAGGTCAAATAAGTAACCAGCAAACTTTCATAAAATGATTGTTTACATTTAATTCAATCATCTTCAAACTGGGTCAGTTAGCAGGAAGTGACACCGACCAAAATGTGTTCTCACACCAGGAACTCCCCAAGACATCCAAACCAGCCACTTTGTTGACTGTCCCAAGGAAACAGTATCTCTAATATTTTAACATATAATTTTACATGCTGGCATTCAGGACACTTCTGCAATGACCCAAAAATCCAACATTATTTAATAACACAACAAATGAAAGGCTTTAATAATTCAGTATTTTAATATTTAGTGTTTTATATATATTTATTTATTTATTTATACGCTGGCATTAATACCAACAAATATTATGTCTAACATCCCACAACTGTAATCACTAGCCGAAGGAAGGAAAAATAGCAGCAAAGTAGAGTGAGCACAAATATTTTACTTGATCATGGCCATACATAAGAGAAACATTTAAAAAAATACATGAAGTGTATACACGAACTGTGGTAATGGAACCAATAAGTTGTTCATACTCAATAAGATACTGAAATACAATATCTCTACAGTATCTGTTCTCAGGGCAATGAAAAACCTCTAGTTTTGTTCTTAAAAATATTGTGGCATATATGCTCAAATTAAGAACTGTGGAGCCAGAAGAAATGTCCAGTGCTAGGGAAAAGCATGTTAAGAACACACAACTCTTGTTTTCACGAGGTCAGCGTCATGTACCTACAGCAAAAGGTAGGCATGCAATAATAAAGGGACTGATAGAAGCAGTGTTTTCTATGTGGACCATGCAAGGCTACATAAAAAGTAAACTGTTTGTTGTGAGTTAGTTCAGCTCAGAAACTGCAGGTGAAAGGTGCTAGCCAGCGAGGATAGCAGATGTTAGACATGGAAGCCAAGGACATTACACAGCTGCAAGCTACTACCAAGCAAAGTCAACACCAGTCTCTGTGTGAGTGATCTTGAAAGTGTAATCACAAGCTGTAAAGTGTGTAATATATCCGACTGCCAATCCAAAACCCAGCTATTGTTGCTTAATATGTGATAATTTAATGACACACCACCCTCAACCTGCAGATTTAGTTTGTGGCAGAACTTCTGTAAATTGGGTTTTCCTAAATATTCATACCAGTATACCTAGCATTCAACTTCCTGTTATGACAGATAAAGCCTGATTTCATTTCAGTGGTTATACATGTGGAATATTTGGAAAGTAACCTCTGGTGAGCTGTTAAGGATGTACAGGACAAAAGTAGTTTAAATTAAAATTTAATGAATATCTGCAATTTGCATTTCTTAAATAAAGCCCGAAGTGACACGATAAAAGTTTTAAGAGTGGATAGTCTCTGGATCGAATGTGATAAAAAAAATTCAAATTATTTTTACCGAAGTATTAAATCCCATTTTAATATAAATAAAATATTCACTATATTTAATAAAACTAAATTTAATTTGTAAGATTTGAGGCTTTCACGGCGGTGACTATGAAGAAAGCAGTTTTCTGGGATTTGGCACCGTGTATATGTGGTGTTAATTTCATTCATTTTGATTACTGAAATACTCTTTGAGAAAAATTAAACTTGATAACACTGCAGTTTTTCATATGTTGGCTGCCTTGTGCAGTTCAGTGGTCCCACACAAGTGGGCCAACGCCACAACTGAAGCTTTAGTTGACATGATGTACAGCTGTAGGTTACTCATAGCTACATTTTTCTCTATTACACTGTTTTCTTTCAAGCATCATGATGCCAAAAGCAACTTACTGTTGGAAAGGAAGGATGATTACTAAAAGTACATAAGGAAAGACGTGTTCAACAGAAAAGTGGAGAAAAAAGAAGAAACACTGCTATAACCCCGACAGCAAGTGAAGAAACAGTGGATCACAATGCCCCAACTTATGTCGAAAAATGATCAGATATTATGGATGGATGGTATACTGCTGAAGATAAAATTCTTGGTCAGCAAGTGTGGTGTTTCATGTGAAGCACTATCCCTTGAATGCAATTAGAATGAAACTAGCTACAGTTTCTGCTTCGCTACTTTAGAACTGTTTCCAACGTTGCAGCACTTCTACAGAGAATAGCTTGCAAATCAAGCAAAAGTCAATGTTGCAGTACATTATTATTATTTTCTCCCAAATGTGTATGTGGACATGCACTGTCATGGAGAAGCAGTACACCGTATATCAGCATTCCATGCCTTTTGTTCTGAATGGCTCTATGCAGTTTTTTTAGTGTTTCAGAATATAAAACATGTCTGAGCTCTCAGGAGGCAGATTTCTTTGACACAGTCATACAAAAATGTATTCGCCGGGAAGACAAGTGCCTCAATTCGCATGGTGACTATGTTCAGCAGTAGTTCATGTACATATTTTTGTATATAAAATTTTTTTTATCATTGTTTGTTTGTTAGCAGCTTACCAGAGGTTACTTTCTGAATAGCCCTCGTACATACACAGAACGAAGTCACTGGAATAAAAAACCCCATCTCTGAGTAGGTGCAACTTTTATTACTTGGGAAACAAAAAAGATTGATATCTGTCAAACATGGGTAGAACTTCCAAAACTGTGAAGCAGTATTTTTGTTTTCTTATTGGAGAGGAGCCAAACAATGCCTGACAACTCGTTCCAAAGAGACAGTGGTAATGAACCTCCCTGTATAAAAAAATAACATCACATTCAACTTAATTCTCTTCAAATATCTGAGAGACCATACTTTAACAAAACTCAGCAACTTCACCTCAACAGCCTAAATTTCTTAGCAGGATTCTGTATATTGTCTATATATTCTTTTTTCAATATTAGCTAGTTCTGGAAAGAGCACCACACCCAGAAATTGCTGATGGAACCAAACTGAATTTTACTAATAATGCTGTCAAAACAGAACGTATAGGGAGGTTATGAACATACCAGCTTTCTCTTCTTATCTTGCTGGTCAGGAACTGTATCTGACACTGTCTGATCATGATCTCCCGATTCTATTTTTTGCTGCTGGTGCTGCTGCTTTTGTTGCTGCTGCTTCTGTTGTTGCTCCTGCTGCTGTTGTTGCTGTTCTAGTTGCTCATGTGGAATTTTAGTGGGGGAGCGTACAGTCGTAGAACTTCTCCGCAAAGGTAGGCTATCAACATTACTGGTGTTTATTAAATTCTGATTGTTACCACTATTTAGATTATGCTGATGCTGCTGTGATGGTACTGCCAAAGGATCACCATCTTCAGATGAAGTTGTTCTCCTCCCACGGCGACGACGTTCTCGGCTGTTAATTGAAAATCAGTTTAAAATAAATTACTTACAAGCCAAATGCAAAGTCAATGAAAATACATGTTCAATTCCAAACATTCATTGTGCTCACTGTATGCATCAACAATGTGCATAATGAAAAGTACTATCTTCTGGGAATTGAATTGTTGTGACAAGTAGGCTACCCACAATACAGGCCATTTTCTTAAGTTATTAAGTGTATTTAAATAATGTCAGAGTACATTAGTTTGTTGCCTGCATAATTCCATTCCAGTACCTATATCGATTGTTCATTCTGAAGTGGTCATACTATTTAATACCAGTTGACCACACTAAGCCTGCTGTTACGTGCCTATCAGAACTGCTCTTCTTGTGTTACAGTTACTGATTTCTGTTATGCTAAGCCACCTTTTAAGTGCTTCCATACTGTTACTACAGTCATACTAAATATACTGCTTATTATACGTTTAATCTCTTTCTATAATTACGTCAAGCAGTAGTATCTTACGCCTCCTGTCTAGTTCTGTATTGTGCGTTGTGGGCCTAGCATGTTGACAGACGCCAATACTTTATCCATCATTTCTACCTTGTATCTGGTTATCTGCACTCACCTTGGAAGCATCCGAAACCAACAACTAAATCAGATTCAATTATGACACCTCTGTCCTTATGCTAGGGTAAGCCTGAATATAAGACAGGCAGTGGGGTACACATCAAATCTATTCAGCATTTTTTTTGTTTCAGTTTATAATAATCTACGATATAGAGATAGTTTTCAACACTAAAAATAAAATAAACACTTCATGTTCTCAGACATATTATACCACAAAAACCTTTCCAAAAAACAGACCAGAGACACAAGTTGAAAGTCTTATTCCCATGAGATGCTAACCTTGAAAAGAAAAAAAAAACTGAAAGCAACAGCTGAAGTTCGTCATTCTACTGCATATTATATCACTTACTCAGTGGGTTCATGTATGCCATTTCTCCTATTAAGTGCTGTACATTCCTTCGGATTTCCACAAGCACACATGAATTGAGGGGGGCTTCCACTGCTATTCACTAATGTAGAAGCTTCCTGTGTCCCATCATGGTTTATGGTGATCTCTGAGTTCTTTTCTACGGTGGATACAGTCACAATATACAAATGGAGAATACCCTTTTCAATGCAGTGGCGTACCTGAATCAACAAATACACATATAAAAGAAACTGTTAATTAAATTTAAAATCTTATACCAAACTCTTGGTCTCCAAATGCTAAACAGACTGAAACCACTGCCTTATAAACCTCTTCACAGCAGATAAATTTATCAAAGGGCAAAAACATAGCAATATGCAAAGGGTACAAGGAAACTGGCAACCGCAGCGCAACCAGAAATATCACCAATTTCAAGCAGGCAACTGGTTTCCAGATTAGCACTGAGGAAACTTATGTTTGACTAGTTATTCACATCATCTTCAGTGGTTATGTTCGTCCAATATAATGCTTGATTGTATTTTTTTAATTTCATGAACTTACCTTCTGCAGTGGAAGATAATAATACTGATCCTGTCATAATATGGTGGTAGTCAAGACGAGTTAAGATGGCATGAGAAGATATGATGTTAATTTGTTTTAATTAAGGTCAATTTATTTTAATCGGGAAATACTGCGTTCACACGATACCAAATTTTGACATACAATGCAACAATTTTAGCAAGACGGAAGACACCTGATGATGGCAGTATAGAGACAAACCATGTAATGTGGATGAAGGTTGACTATATAATAAGTTGCATATAAGACGGAAATATATGTGAAACAGATGATATATTAATGCAAAAGGATGCTGAAACACAATATCATGAAAACATTTGATGCAGCCATTCTTCTGTGACAATTTAAACTGAGGTGCTTATATTGTTTCGAAAGGACTTAACCTGTATCCAGACTCTTTCATCTCATGTGAAATTCTTTCCCAAGCCAACTCTATTTTTTCCTGCCTAGCATAGTCTAGGTAGTGTCTGTCATGTATACCAGACTCTTGCTCAATTAACTGCACAAAAAAATAAATCAGCAGCTTCATCAACCTTTCGTGCCATCTTAAGAAACACGTGAATCACTGAAGCGCTTTATATGGCAGCTGACACCAGGAAACCACAAGGCAACGCAACTGTGAGAAGACTGACATGCTTCGTTGACTGGAAATTGATTTTCTCAGTCTTTCCATGAGTTGTGTTGTAGTTTCCTCAATCTGTGCTGCTTCATTCAGTAACATGTGTTCAACTCAGGCTAATTAACAATTCTCAGAAATTGCGGTTGTGTTGCAGTTTCCCGTTTCCTTGGTGTACCCTCACCCTTATGGTCCAAAATAAAATTATACTGTTTCATAATTGTGTCCTAACACATACACATCACACACGATCTCTAAACAACAAATTTAATCTCGTTATAAACTCAAGGCTCACCTAAGAAACACCTTTAATGAATCCTTCATTAATGCCTGCAACTATGTGTCTATGATCAGACTTCTACATGCATCTTTAAAAAACTTCATAAATAGTGTAAACATTAACAGCGCATTTTAAACTCTTAACTGAGAATTTAATTCTGAGCACTGAAAGAAACAAACACTGAATTATATTTATTTACAACCATATTCAAATTCAAAAGTGAAAGGATGGGACACATGTTTCATAATTTTCTGCAATGGTGCTCTGTACTGAACAGACTGCTTTATGCAGTAAACCATGTGGGCCTGTCCACCAAGGCCAAATGAACAGAAATCACCTTATGCATTATTCTTCATAATGTTTCTAGTAACCACCAGCAAGGGATAGGAGAAATCAGAAAGAGAAGATTTTATATTATACAGGATGAGGTGAGAGGAAGTGATGTATTTCACATTTCTGCTGGGGGCGACTGATTGGAGTGGGGAAAGCAAATATTGTGCGCACACACACAACCTGGTATGCAATTTAGTCACGGAGAACTGGATGGTGAATCATTAACGACTTCTTCTGAAGTTAAGCAGACTGTGCAGGTGCAAGATGATTCTGGCCACTTAATTGCATGATCTGGCAACATTCCTTTCCCACCATGCCCCCTGGACTTGACAGTCCAAAATATTTTTCCCGCAAAGTATCTCATGCCTAAACTGAATGCTACTTGTTCCCACTCCATCAATAAATGAAGGACTGTATTACAGAAGGAAGGAGAATAATATATGCAGAACTTCACACAGCAATTACAGCAATGTATCGAATGTCATGTATCTCACCTGCAACATGCAAGGCACGGATACTAAACTGCAAACATTATTACTTATTTCTTAAAATGTTTCACTTATTTACTGCCTGGTCTCGCACAGCAGCTTACAGAAAACAAAAAACTTTGTAGTTAACAGTGTTAAAAATCGTTCTAAAATGAACCAAAATAATAAAATGTACTATATCAAACACCTTTAACTTTTGTCCTCCAAAAAAAAGGGGGTTCTAATTTTGCAAGTACTGTAGTGGTGGTAGACATATTTTAAATTAGAGGTGGCAGTTCGCTGTCAGGGGAACAGCAAAATTTAAATCTCCCATTTTCAATGGTTTAACAGCCATGTTTTAAACAACATTAGCATTAAAAAAATGAAACATTCTGTCAGATGGAAAGCACAATACTTGGAGAAATAATTCAAACGCATGGCCAAAACGGGTTAAATTCTGCTAAACACTTAAATATCGACCAAATTTCTCCACCCAGTATTATTAATACAGTATATCCAGATGAATGGTATCCAGAATAAAAAAATGATATCCCAAAAACTGTAATACATGAATCCACTTTATGCTATCGGAATGGAAAATTCTGAAAGTTTCTTTTCATGTTTCAGCTTATGCGCATGTGCCAGCTGATGACCTTTGGCGAGCTCAGTAATGATTTCAACATCATAGAACAGGTTCAATGTGTTGTGGCTGGCAAAGTTGCAATCTCTTTAAGCCTCCTGTGTGCAAAATCTCCTGGAAAGACACAGACCTCTGAAGAAAATGTCAATTGCAGTAGAGAGGCACTCCAGCGAAGTTGGCACAAACCAAGTCTTTCTGCTGGCTTGCAGTTACAAATTACACATTCAACAGCACATGGTGTGCTACACAAGAGGCTCTGCCTAAGAGCATACAAGGCGTTCCATGTCAGTGGATCTGCAAACAGGTACAACTGAAGAATTTGGGGCAGTCAAAATCCACATGTCACATGTGTTGGAGAGAAGCAGCCCCAAAGTGAATGTGTGGTCTGACTTAATTCACAAGTTGACTGGACAGTTTTTCTTTTCGGGAAAGACCGTGATCAGACGTTCGTACTTGGACATGCTGGAGCTGTATGAGGTGCGCCAATTATCACCTTAAACCATCCTCCAAAAAGATGGGGCACCACCTCATTTCTGCTACCATGTTAGGTATAACCTGGACAGAGAGATGGCTGGGAGATGGATTGACAGAGATGGACCAATTGCTTGGCCTCCTAGGTTGCCAGATTTAAGCCCACTGGATTTTTTTTTGTGGGGTTATGTGAAAAACACTGCTTTCAACACCTGAAAAGGGGCACTGTGGCTATGGTAACACCACACATGCTTCACACAATGTGGAACAAGGTTCAATATCAACTCGATATGTGTCATACTCCCCAGGGGAGCCCACAATGATTTTTTTAATAGTTATATACCCAGTGAAAAAAAAACCCTGATAGTTTCCCCTTGTAATTGTGTAAACCATAAGGTGTATAATACATGCTTATTTTATTCTGGATACCTTTCATCTGGACACCCTGTACAATTTTCAGTTAACAGAATCTCCATTTTAAATGTTTATCACTGAACAAGATTTGAAGACAAATGGTTACAATTGAAAATTCTACACTGTTTAACAGATCTGAAAATAATGCAGCAAACAAGAAAGTTCTTCTAGAGAACTCACATGGGACCCAAAAGAAATGAGTGCAGTACATGGAAAACTAGTTAAAACACATATTTCAGTGACTAGTCTGCAAACCAAAATGTCGATGACCTTTAAAGAGAGTAAGTAAATGGATAAAACCCCAAGGACAAAGTCATACAACCTAACTCTGTGACCAGAGGAACTTTCTTTTTAATTTCGATAATACTTACCTCTGCATTCGGTTTACAGGATCTTCGTATGAACCTGGCATCGTTACCATATGTCCTTGTATCTACACATACTTCTGTGCCATCTTTAGGTAGACGATAAAAGAAAATAAATGGTCCAGGAGGTGGACGGGTCCGTTTGCTGTTAATGACAGTTAATGAGGGTGGGCGGTGCTGAGTGGAAAGCATATACTTTCCCCTCAGTTCTATTACCGGCTGGTTTGCTGATAATAATGTTGTCGAGACAAGAATCTGTGAACATACATTCATACCCCTTTAAACACAGGCAAGAAAGGAGTATAAGAAATAATAAATTATTTTATCTTGAAAAGAAAATTATTATAGTACCAACAAAATATCTGCCTCTTTCTCGCAATCAGTAAATTTGTGGGCCACAGGTCTGGTACATGCACTCCACAATCTCTAATTAAATTTCCAAAGATATTCTTTACTATGATTCAAAATAACTAGTGAATTCAAATAAGAAGGATTCTTATTGATTATCTCACCCTGACACCTGGTGCCAGCTGTGAAACTCTGCACTTGGTTGCTCCACTGGTCACACTGTGAAGATTCCCTGCCTTCAAGTCCGAGTGAATACCATTCACCTTTATACTCGAGATTCGAGCTCGCAATTCAGGGGAATAATGGTTTGTAACAGCTTCTTCATAGTTGTCTATCCACTGACGGAGCTGAAGCACTGTGCCTGAATTGGATACTGATCTGTCCCAACCATCCTGACTCTCGTCTTCACTTGTACGGGCTTTACTCTGAAAATTGGAGAACCATAATGATTTTTATGGATATGTACATAACAAGTCAGCACTGATTAATAATCCTGCTGCAAGCTCTGAATGAAGAATCTGGTTATAAAAAACCTAAACTGTCACTGTAAAAATGAAAACATGGTGTTCTTACAAAAATTAACGATTCTTGGTAGCAGAATAAAGCAATATCTACTTAAGAAATGTTAGTTCTTAAAGAACAAAGTGAACAAAAGCCACACAAAGAACAGAACTGCTTAAACATGCTCTTCCAAAATCATAAATATGGTAGTAGCATAGAAACACAATGGAACAGTATGACTTATACCAAGAACTGCATTATAACTAGAGAAAATTTTGGCAATTTATGTCACATTCATGGAAAAATGTCCTATTAAATAAGGCTCTTTTAGAACACTTCCATCAGAGCTACATTTCCAAAGGTATTTACAGCTGGCTGCCCCTGAAGATACAAACATCCTGCAGCTCTCACCTGTTTGGGAGAAGACAGCCCATATTCAAGAATTTGAATACTTCGTGCATGAATACAGAATTTACAAAACAATTACAGCAGAAATGCTAATCACACATGCACATACCATGATCAAAAAATATAGGCCAACAGTTAACATGTACATAAGGATATATGAGAGGTGTAAGAAAATCTATAATTCTCAATATTTTTATTATTAACGACATCAAGAATACTTAATTATAATTCTCAATCTTTCTAATATTAAGGACATCGAGAAAACTGAATTATTCTGTTACCTTCATGTCTCCAAGACAATCTGTTCAAACAACCTAGAAATATTTACACAGCATGGCATGCCTGCCCTGATCCTGCCTCTACATAGCATAAAATTAATTTCATTACTTTGAAAATTAAACGCATTACTACAAAGTATACTGGGCAAAAATGGTTTCACTTCATCTAAAACTTTCGTTTCAAACCATTTTCATTCTGATAAATATTCATCAAGTTTTGCAAAAGCTATGTGCAGAAATGCACTTCGGTCTTCATGCAGTGCTGGAATGCCATAATATTTCTGCTTGTAATGCAGGAATGTTACAATATTCTCTTGAAGAAGGGTTTCAAACTACAACCTGTTTCTGTACTCTTTTCATTTCAGTTTCTATTACAAACCTTCCTTCTTGCAGGTGTCCTTTTATTTTCTGTGGTTGCTCTAGTAGTTTCTCTCTTCCTATTCTGGCCCACACTGGCCCTTCTTTGTGTAACAGGCACAGTTGAAGGTGTTTGTGACTGATCCCTTGATGACTCCCTTCTCTGTCTTTGCTGCTTTGCCAAATTGTTACTGTTTGCCACATTCTTCTTGTTTGTACTAACAAGCTCACCCTTACGTTTATTAACTGAATTAGACAGAGCACGTTTCTTGGAGGTCATGGCTGGTGCTGGGTTTATTACACCTTTAACAATATTTTAAGATATTAATACATGGCTAACCCATGACTTTAATAGCTACAATTTAGCCATTTTAGACATTACAATCAATCAGATCCTTCCCAAATGTGATACTTAAAATCTTTTCGGATTCACAGACCAACACAACAGCACATCATATGGAAAAAAAACAGTGAATGCCATTTATTATCCAGAACTCACTGGATGTTTCACTGCACGGCACAGAAATAACTATTCTGGAGGCTGACAAAATTGTCCAAACCTTTCAAGAGAAAAAAAAGAGTGTGAAATATGTAGAATTTGCAAATGTTTCTTCCTGCAATGAAATCATTTCATATTCAACATAGCCAGCAGAAAGCAGCCATCATTTATCACAACTGGCTCAGTACTTGACAATTGGTAAGGAACCCTTTCATCAACTCACTAACCAATCAGTGACATTGATCTGGCAAAAGAGAAGCATCCTGATCTGCGTAACAGTCAGAAACTTCATTCTGATTTTGAACAACAGGACTTGGATCAACTCTGGTGCAAGCTTGGTTATGCATATCCCATTCAGGCCAAGTGAGCTTCTAGTCCCATGAATCACAACCTACCCATGTGAACTGCAAATTTCAGTGCTTTTATTCTATTAACACCAAAGTGAGCAATGAACTAAAATGCAAACATTCCCCAGAATTTAAATGCTCCTTGCTAGTGTCAGCACTGTGTTCTAACTAATAATATTTGGTATGTTTTTATCATCTGGTACTTTTTCTGATTTTAGTGTGCAATTTCTGTCCAGGAACTAAATAAAGCTTAAGCCGAATTTTACAATTTTGCTAATATATGGTAAGACTAAAATTATTAGCGACATGAGGTATGTAATGATGGCTCATACAGATATCGAGAGCTATTCTGAGTGAAAAAAGTCTAGAACCCATGTTCTAGACAACATAATGTGATGAACATATTCTAAAGCAAGAGCACCTGACACAGATTCTGCTATCAATAGGGCCACAGAATGATACGCTAGTAAAATGAACTTACATCTCACCCAGAAATGACAGAAAGGAGTACTGCACACTCTAAAAAACCAAGAAACTTTACTAAGATGATAAGAAAATGGGTATCATTTTGTAACTATAATAAAACTAGATGATCCACTACAACTTTATGCAATTACCACCATCTGTATCAGTAGAGGATGAAGAAGTGTCACTGGAGCTATCTGTGTTAAGGAGCTCTTCCCTTTTCCTGAGCTGCAATGTCCGTGCATGCTGACGATCCACTCGACGGGGCTGACATCTTTCACACATATATTCATCTGGGATATTGGATCGATCAATACCCATGCAATCTACATGTTGCCATACACTAAGATAAAAACAAAATAAACTTTGCAAGTGAGCTAGTACTTCCTTGTAGATATAGTTGTAATCATTATTATTATTACTATTACACTAAACCCTCTCTAATCTGGTTACAGTTGATCTGGATATTGGATATTCCTACTCAAAATACGAAAAATGCTGTCCACAGTTGAGTACATACTTTAAAAGACAGACAACATTTACGAAGGCAGATAAGTCACTTGTCTGTTCAGACAAAACTTCACAGTTTCTTCAAACCTGCATTATTATGTCCATAACAAGTACAACTTCTGAGTCTTCTACTGATGAATAAATGTACTGTCTTTTTACACATTTTAATATTTACTTTCATCAGCACTATTTATATTTTTGAATTCTTCATTTGTCTTCTGATTAATCTGGAAGACCTCCAGCCCATTACTCCAGATTAGTGACTGTCTACTGCATTATTATTATTATTATTATAAACACAAATTAAATTGAATTATCATCATTATTATTATAAATAATCTGGCAAACAGAAAAGCTAAGAGTTTTTAAGTTCCCATGAATATCCATTTACTTTGCAGTCATTTCCAATTCACTTCTCAACACAAAATAACCCTTGCACTTTATGTGATAAATAACTTCAAAACCAAATGACCAACCAAACAATGATTAATCAATTATTCAACTTCTGAATTAAAATAAATACATCAAAAAGTTACAAGGGAACATTATACCCATCTACAATAAATACATACTTACAAGCACTTGTCACAGCATATCATATAGCCATCATCATGTTCAAAATCACTGAAAAGAAGGAATCAAGATATTACAAGATACAAACTCTCAAGGTGGAAGTAACACTATTATCACCTAAAGCAAAAACCTAAATTAAGAACAGCGATAGAATTTTTTCAAAGTATGCAACTTGTCAGGGTCATTTTTGTCCTTAGGATACTGCAGCTTGTGTCCAACACGTAATTTCAGCTTTCAGTGCTTGGCAACTGCTAAGCCATCCCTTACGAGAGAACCATCTCTCCTTCTATACCTTGTTATGTTCGCCCATATTAGGTGGAACATGACATTTTCCAATACCGATGTCCCACAATGTAAATGGTGTATGTGTTGTCTAAAAGAATGTAACAATAGAGTAACTGTCATATGAGGCTGTGTCATAGCTCAAGCGGTTAGTCGCTGGCTCATCACAGTGGCCTGGGTTTGAGCCTGGGTCTGGTCAAGTGGGGTCTGTGGTGGACAAAGTAGCGCTGGGGCAGGTTTTCTCCAAGTACTTCAGTTTCCCCTGCCAAACTTCATTCCACCGAATTCTCCATCGTCATAATCGCCTGGGGCAGGTACAGCAGGCCAACCAGTGGCCGCTGTGCTGAGTGGACCCATCTGGATTACACCCCCCCCCCAAACAAATTAGAAAAATACTGTCATATGAGTGGTGTTATTTGGAGCTTTATGCTTTAGCTACAGCCTTATTTACTTACTGCATTATCACAGTACACCATCCACATTTAGTCAGAATGTTAACAAAAGGACCAATCAGTAGCCCCAAACTTTAAGCACTGGCCAGAGGTTAGCATTCCACTTGACCTTCCCAGAATGGTGTATATCCCGTGTTTGATGATTCTGTGTGATATCATGTCAGGAGCGTGGATATCAGATTTCTTTCTTCATAAGTCTTAAGCTACGGTAAATGATAGTACATGCTGTGATTTCTGAGGGTTTCCAACCGATTCAAAGTCCTGTTAAGATTTTTAGGTGTTGCATTTTCTTGTAAAATTATAAAACATTATTTTTGGGGTGTTACTTAGTATTTTTTAAAAAACTCTTAGTTCTTTGATGTGAGATAATGCAGTTCATTTAGTTAAATTTATTGATCTATTCTAGGCATAGTTAGTTTTTGTAATAATATACTCTCATGTGATGGAGTGTGATTATAGACAGGGTTTTGAATTGATGACCAGATATACTGGTCTTTTTGATATAGCGCATGACCCCCCTTCTCTCTCTCTCACACACGCGCACACACTAGTGTCCAGTCACATCTTCACTGCCACTGCTTGGTGCTGGCTTCTAATGGCAGATGTTCCCCTTCCTCCAGGTTCCCAAACTGTCCCTGGCCTAAGCTACCAGCTTCTAACAGCGACAGCTCACAACAAATGAACCCCAGCAGTCCTTCAACTCTCTCTCACTATCACACTCACTCATGCAGCAACTCAACTGACTCGTAACTTGTCCTGCTTAAACATCTTTGCACAGAATTCACAGGCAACACTTTTCCTCTGTTGCTTTTTACGGGTCACTGCCTAGTAATGGCTGTTGTATAGACGCTTATATCACAGTCGTTGCCTCAATGCTCTACATGTCACAATACATTCATAATCGAGTCACTGTACTAGGATAATGCAAGCCCCATCTCTGAGATTCATCCAACCCTGCTAATCCAGGCCAATGAAGAAGGGCCATAGATTTATCATGCAAAATAATGTGTCATATGTCAAAGTTGCTTCAAACTTCAAAAACTGAAGTTACACATTGTTAGGGTCACCTCTCAGTAGCACTCCAACATTTCTAAATGAATTTCCAGTTACTGATATAACCAATAAACTCTACATCTATGAGGTTGTACCATCATCAGACGGTGACATACATCATTACATAACCACAAATTTACCAATCCTATTTTCAACATATGCTGGAAGCTAAGATCACCATACTGCAGATCCCGCTGAATGCACAGGCCCCTTCTTCCACAAGACTGTCTACTGTACATAATGTACCCTTAAATACATTTTGGACACTACTATAGCAATAATTCTCTTCCCCCTCACATTTGCAGATACACAGATTTACAAAGCAAAAATATCTGGAAAAGGTGAGCATAACATTAAAATAGGCAAAATAATGCAACATAAAATAAATTTTAAAGATTTCAAAATGAGCACTGATTTCCAAAACATCTATAAAATGAAAGTTCCATGACTCTTTACACCTTCTTCATTTAGAAATTCTCATACCAGATTTGTATTAAAATACTTTACTAACCAGATGCAACGTGTAACACTATCCTCATCATCTCCTTCCCCTTCAGGGGCAGTTTCAGTCTCTTCTCCCTCTGGCTCAACTTCCCTTCCAGTGTTACTGCTAATTACACTATTAGCATCATCATCATTACCGGCCACATCACGAAACGTCAATAGTCCAGTACCTAAAACCAGTCATGATAATCAGAAAGTCATCCTATCCCTAATAAAATCAAGTGAACATCCTATAAGCCAATGCCATCTCTCTCTGCTGTCACATTAATGAATGTTAAAAGAAACTACACCTCTAATGAACCAAGTAATCCCAGAAAGTTGAAGCAACTCACCTCCAACTAGTGCCAAGGCCAAGAAAATATGGATCTATACTTTCCCATATGACTTCATGGCGTAGCGCTTAATTAGTTAAGCACAGGGACAACTTTACCTTTACCTTTTTACCTTTTACTTTCAGAGTAGCCCTTCTATTTTTGTCATGTGATTGACATATGATATTAAGTTTTTTTTTTGTGGTAACTGGAATAACCAAATATTTGAAGGTATGTTTCAATTTATTAAAAGGAAAACCTGAAGCCATACCATACTGATAAACTGTGCCAGCTGGTGTATAACTGTTAGGTCCCAATGTACTTGCTCCACCAGCTACTCCACTGGTTAATTTTCCATGATGTGATGGTGACATAGGTGGCGATGCTGGAGGGGGTGCTCCATAGTTATGATCTTGTAAAACAAACTATAAAGAAAATATATTTCATTAGTTTGTGAGATCTTAATGTTAATGCAAAATTCATGGAAGTCAATCTTGGGTAAGACAGGGGGACCACTTGTACCAAACCTACTTTTGGACCATCTGTGTAATATTTTAGGTGTTCACAGTGCTTCCATGGCATGGCCAATTTCAAATCTAAGTGGCAGAATCTTAGATAAGGAAGGTGGCTGCAAATATATTGAATACGCAGTCACATATACCAACAAGTGATGATACACCAGCATAAGGACGCAGCAGGGCTCTAACTTATCTCCCGACAAAATCAGCATGTTATAAAATGTTATGGCAGAGCCTCTCACGATTCTTTAGAACTATCTAAGCAACAGAAAATGGTGATGAATTTTTAAATCTGGAATATCAGAGTTCCTTAACTACCACATGAAAATGTGAAGTAAAGGCACATCAGTTTTCAAACAATCAGGAACAAGAATTTACATTAAATGATTAGAGTAGAATTTTACCAGATAAAAATCTAAAAATGATCAAGAATATACCATTCCATTTCCCAACTTTTATAAAGACACTTGGACTCTGAAAGCGAAGACACATGATCAGACTGATGAAACATTAAAATATAAAAGATGTGTCACTCAAGAGGAAATGACATGATACTGGTTGCAGAAGTTACATACAGACTGTCGGTACATGAATGGGTGACACAACAATCTAATAAGGAAACATCCAATCTCAAGAAGATAAATGACGTGGAAGTTACAGAAGAGGATCTTAATATTTTAAATAGGTTTGCAGCTTTTACAAAAATTTAACACTGTGAAGATGAGTAGAACCTGGGAAAATATTAGAGGGAATAGAAACTTCTGCAAAAAGAGTTGGCGTTATTACAGCGAAAAAAAAAAAACAGCATAAACCATGATCTGTGCAAAGGGTGCTTAAAGTTATTAAATCAAAGGTAAATGAACTGAGGCAATCAGAAGTATGTTAGGACATTAACCTTTATTGGACAAACGTCATCATATGATGTCGTTAAAAGTTAGGGCAGCTGGCCGAACGACATCATATGATGTCGCGGATTCCACGTGTGTAAGGTTTTTTAAAATTAAATTAAAAATATTAATTGTTGTTCTATTTATATGATTTTTGGTCACCACCTTTATAAGGAGACAGCCTTCCTTCCTGCATGATCTAATGTAATCTAGCGACGTTTCCTGTCTTTTCCTAAGTAAACCTTCATGTCATAGTTATACCCAGCGGCGTCACAAATTTTGAAGATTTTGATTCCGAAACGTTTGTGCTTCTTAGGAATGTACTGTCTAAAAACCACCCTTCGCTTGAATTTAACTATTATTTCGTCTATGGCCAAGTGTTCAGAAGGGTTATAATATTTTTGATATGCGTCATTGAGTGTGTCGAAGATGGTCCGAATTTTCCATAGTCGGTCATAACTGTCGGCATTCCTATCAGTTTCTGTACTGTTGTCTGCAAAATGTAGAAAACAAAGAATGTGAAGAAAACGGTCGCATTTCATTGTGTTAGAGTAGAAAGGCGTGGCAAATTGTTCAGCAGTCGACCAGTAGTCCTTTAGTGTGTCTCTAATGTCATGTCCCATTTGAATGATTATTCCTAGAAACAGAAACATCTCGGATTCAGTTATGTCAGGCCGCGGAGATGGTCCGTCTTCAAGTCTGTCTAGGTACTGGTGATAGTACCTATTCGTCTCTTCCACCAGATGGATAATCCCCGCAAAGTACAGCATGAAAACGCAGAGAGGGGTAGAATCCTTATTCACGTGTGGAGCTGCAGTGATATTTATCCCCGCAGCTACACCGGAATAATTATTCACACCTCTCCAGCCACACTGCTCTGGTAGTCCCCAAGTTGCCGACGAAGGTGATGACCCTTCGTCCGCAGAATCAGAACTCCAACTTTCCTCGCCACTCTCAGAATCGGTTGAATAGCAGTCCGAATCTGTGTCATTGAACAGCTGTTTCCCAATTTCAGAATCTTCCATACGTCGTCATCGTGTGGCCATGGTGAACTATACGGCTCTCTAGCAGTGAATGGTTTACTGCCAGTACAAAATCTCTCTGTGCATAGACCACGGCCAGAAGCCATAAATCATAACCTCGCGCCCACACATACAAAAATCTCATTCACGTCTTGGCTGAACTCAATATCTGCTTCAAACATTCTAGACGATGTCATGGGTGGCTAACCTTATACTGCGATGTTTCAAAATCATTACAAACACAATGGTTTGACTGCAATGAATGAATGAATGAATGAATGACTGAATGACCGATCTGGCAACACCATATTCCGAGAATGTACTCCTGTGTCTTTCTAACAGATATTACACAGCGAGCGATTTCAGACGCCCACAGTCCTGCATACAGACATGTCCCATACGATAAATAAGCTTCAACAAGAGATAGCATTGTATGTGAGGTCGCCACGAAGGACTTACCCTGCTAAAACGCATGGTGCAGAAAATGTATGAATTTCGGGAAATTTTTTTTGGAATCAGTGTGAAAAATTTTTACAGATATTAAAATCTGTAAATTAGACTATCTGATTCTATATTCTTTCTAGATTAAAGGAGCGTTCATTTCGTTCATTTATCATAAAAAATGTAGAAATCACACCATTTTTAGAAACATGCTTACAATTTCATTGCTCTAGAAGGGCGGGCATTTAAATAAACTCCGTCCAGCTGCCCCTACCGGAAATTAAATGGCCCGTCCGATAAAGGTTAATCTAGTAGAACAATCAATGTAAGAAGGAAATATCTAGAAGTCCAAAGTCCAAGCTAGAAACACACCCAACAAAAATATCATGAAACCTATCTGGAGGCATAAATAAACTTAGGAAGGACTATATATATATATACATTGAACCTGGTCAAACAAACAATATTCTCAACACGGAAAACTGAGTCAGAAGGCCATATAATTAGTATCTAATCTAGTTCTTTGAGGCTGAAACTGTTGGTGAAAATGATACTGATCAAATTCTGGCATCACTGTTCCAAACCAGAGATAAAACATTATGTTCCAGACTCCACAAACTTAATTCATTCTACTTGGAGTAAGGTACAAATGTCACAGCACCCGAAAAAAATATTTCTGTACCCAGGCCTGCACAAATTGCCTACCAATCTAAAAGCCAACCCCCAAAACCATGAGCAAGAATAATAATTATAATAATAATATAAAAATACAGTATTTTGGGTGATAAATTTGCTAATTTTTTAACAAAAATAAATTCAAACATTTATCCACATATACCTATAACAGTCAAGTGTCAACCCTTCAGTGTGCCTCTCCCACTGGTCTACCCAAACGGTAAATACCATAAACATCCCTTTTGGAGAGACAACCTAGGACAATTCTTAGTTTTTCTCCTACATGCATCAATTTTGGTTCGAGACAATTTCTTCACACATTCTTTCCTTAAATAGAAAAGTGCTGGGACTGTGACTACAAGTTCATAATCTTCATATATTCTATAGAAACCATGGTAATGAAACATATTTACATAAGAATATGGCATGATGCAGTTTCATTTTTGTTTGTTTCAAGACAACTTAGTTGAATATTTGCATCATAACTTTATTTTATAATAATGATAATAATAATAAAGAAGGCCATTTTAGTGCAGGAATGGGCCATTCCATGCCAAGAAAAGTGCAAATTTCAACGAAAATTGGTGGGCTTGTAGACTCCACAAAAAGAAATAGTGTTCTCACAAAATTTCAGCACCACAGGACACAAATTTTGCAGAGAACAGGTGAAAACTATCGTAAGAAATTGCATTCTTTGGCATAGTACCTCCATTAAAAATTATAATTGTTATTCTGCACAAGCTACATAGCTTATATACAGCTTGCATGGAAGCTAGTCAAATGCTCCTTTAACAGATACACAACTCACATTCAGACTGAGTAGCTTTGGTTTCACTATCACCTGATGTAAACTCTGACCTTCAAAGTATCAAAAACTACAACTTTTCCCTCTAAAACTGGTTTATAATGCTGCGGTCTAATAAACAGCAATATTTTATCCTGGAATAGCCATGGGATCTCCTGTAATAAAATTGTGAACATGCACAAGCTACAAAATGGATTATTCTTGGATATTATTTACATTTTCAACTCAGCAAGCCCTGCAACATAACAGTTATTAACATCAACAGACATGGAGGTAATACTGTCAATTATTGGTGCAGTATCAGTAGACCGTTAGCATTCCAAAGGGCTATTTTTAGAAACTTGGCCATTGTGGGATTTAGTTAGTAGAGTTGATAACATGTTTAGCATCATAGTATTCTGCTGGATAAGCTGACTGAACATGTTCTTAAATTCTTCATGAAATCTGTTTAAGGTTATGGGTGAGGTGACTTCTTCTTGTTGGCTGTTATATGTAATTCCTCGTGTTACATCTGCGTAACTAGCATTTCTGTATGCACTGTTTGTGGTTGGTTTAGGTATTTCGGGTCTCGCTAGGGAATTGGGATTGTGCATGTTTACTGTAGGGTTCTGTTGAACATTTTGTGTTGTTTGTGTTATTTGTTTTGATGAGGCTGTGATAGAACTCACATCTTTTATAGTTTGCTGGATGTGAACCATCGCATACGGCACATTTACCAGCAGTGGTATTTGGTTTTCTACAACTTGCGGTACTATGTGGGCCTCCACACTTTACGCAAACAAAGGTATTGCAGTATGTCTTGGTATGTCCGTACTGCTGACATCTAAAGCATTCTGTTAGTCCTTTATTCCTTCCTGGTGGTTCTATTACAATTGTTTTGTTTTGTATCATATTAATATTATAAATATCTTTATTGTTACTTGCTGGTTCCAAGTCAACAAAAAATATGTTCGGCGGTTGCTTTGTAACTCTTGTGTCTGCCCTTGATGACATTCCTGACTTTATGTCCCATCTCTGTTAACTGATTTTCGATTTCTTTTGTATTTACTGAGTAGTGTAAATATTTTATGACCACCCTGTATGCTCTCTCCTCCTTAAGTTGATATGTATGGTGTACTATATCGTTCCCTTTTAGGAATGCTACCAGTTTCCGGTATGTTTCGGATGTAGTACAATTAATTTTTATGGTATTGTTTGCCATGCTTTCAGTAGAATATTGCTCTTGTTCAATAATTTCTGTCAATTTATTTACCATTCCGTTATAGTTTATTACCCCATATATAAATATTGGTGGGGGTTTTGGAGTTTTGTTTTCTGGATTGGCCAGGCTAGCGCTTTCTTCAATTGCAGTGGATTAAATTTATTGCTTATTGTTATATCTGTATTTAGGATATATGTTTGCCTTGTATTGATTTTTTTGTCTTTTGTTGTTTTTCACTTGTTGCCATTCATTTACATTTACTGTACCTGTGTCTGATTCATCTTCACTAGCTGATGTCATCCTGTATGTATATTATGGCTTCTGTTTATATTGCTGTTGTGGTTCCTGCTGATAGCTTGTTGAAGGAATCAATTGTACATTTTGCAGAGCACAATAATTGTTGCTTGTCATTACAGGTTGACTCATTTTGTTGGCAGATTTAAATTTAGGAACTGATCCATTGCCTACCGGGAACACACTGGTATCACTTATCACTCCGTGTTTGTTTATTTTTCTTTTTTGGTCACTTATCTTGGCAGCGCTTCTGTCAGAGCACTCGAACACGTCTGTATGCTATGAAACTCAAGTATATATTCAGGCTAAAAGATGAAATTACTTTTGCAAAAAAATTACAAGCAGATTAAATTTGGGGAATGTTTCCACCATCCAGTTCAAAATCATGTCCTGCTGTCCTGTCTAAAAATGCAGATTTCATCTACATCCTACAGCCTACACATAAATGTACAATTTTAACTGTTTTGCATACTTGTATATGTGAAACTTGTTCACTCACTAGAGAAACAAACAAACTCCATGGTCTGTAGTCCACAAGCGAACTACACCGACCGAGCAAACGCCGTTTGTCAGCGAAGTTGGTGCCAACTTTGTGGATAGAGGGTGTCACGCATTCAGCGCAATGGATCCCCATGGCCATTAATCTCGGTTCTCTATACTGGAGCTGGTATTTCCTTGAAATATCACCTCAATTATCCGCACAAGGCTGAGTGGACCCTGTTCCAGACCCACCACTTTGAGTGGACCCTGTTCCAGACCCACCACTTAACAGGAAATCTGATAGTGCCAGGAACCGAACTCGGGACCTCTGAATCTGTAGCCAAGAACTCTGGCCACTAGAGTACAGGGGCGGTCTCACTAACTATCAAAAGTCTTAAAAATAGAGTGCTGTGGAAAACATGTTACCCAAGAGAGAGAAAATAATAGGGGGTTGGAATAAACTGCATGAGGAGAATAAAAATTTGCACTTTTCACCAAGCATTATTAGAGTGATCAAACTGAGTAGGTAAGAGATGGGGAAAGTAGCATGGAAGGGAGATGAGAAATATATACTAATATTTTGGCTGGCATATGTGAAGGGAACAGATCACTTGGTTTCTCAAGGGTTCTACTTCATGGAGTGAAAAAGAGTTCAACTTCTGTTAAAAGCCCTGTACCCACTTGTCTGAAAAAAATTAAGTAAAAGAGTCTGTTCACCTTCACTATTTCCATCCTCCGTTCTTCTGTGTGAACCTGATGGGGAACAGAAACATTACTCAGGAAGTTATGTCTCCCTGCTTCCCCAAAATTCTCTTCTATGTTCACAACTTCTGCATGTTCTAACCTAAAATACAACAAAACAGAATAAAATTGGTTTTAGAGGGTTCTCATGATGGTGCGTAACACTCAGAATTACTGGGTGTTTGGACTTCGTCCACCATCCAGTATTCTAAAATCCAGAGACCACAACATTTTGGAAATGGGGTCTGTTTCTGCCCCAGGTGAGGGGGAGACACCTACTACAGTGGGTCCCCTTGAAAGACACTAAGGGACCGAACACAGTAGGTGTCTCCCCCCTCACCTGAGAATGGAAGCAGACCTAGTTTCCAAAATATTGTGTTTTCTAGTCTTCAGAATACCAGGGAATGGACGAAATCCAAAAACCCAGTAATTCTAGAAATAAAATTGCCAAAGAATCCTTTAAATATGAATGAAAATGAGAGTCACTATGTAATGCCACTCAACAACCTCCATTAATGATGATTACGGAACATGTATATTCCTGTTCTGAACCTTTGCATATGTAGAATTAGTATTTACCTTTGTTCATCTGATGGCTGTGTCTCCCCTACAGATTTTGCCAATGCATTAGATTGTTTTACAGTAAGTGACTTCTGTGGTTGAACCACCTGCTGTTGAGCATACAATTGCTGCATGCTACAATTAATACTGTTCTTACCATTGCTGCTTGCAATGGTATTTGTCGTAGGTCTTTGTATCACTTGTGGGTGATGAATATGCTGCTGCACTTTGGCTCCCCCTGTAATATGGTTTACTCCCTGGGGATAATTTACACTGACATTCCTTCCAGAGGAAGAAGTGGGATTGCCTGCTGGTGATGACTTTGAAATTGTCACTGTTGAATTTGGTTCTAACATGTGTGACGTAGATGTGGCTACAACAGTTGTTCCCAGCTGCACAATTAAACTCATTGATTCTTCAGAGGATGAATTCTGAGTCTGAAGTGGAATAAATGTTCCAAGGGAGGTAGCTGGGGTGTTCCGTCTGACACAGGTAGCTGACGGAATAATAGTAGCTGAAGATGCTTGACCAACCACAAAACTTGTCCCACCTTGGCCCAGAGTTGTGGTTGCAAAAGGATTTCGCACAAGTCTGGTAGCAGTTGTTGTACGAACCATCTCAGCAGCAGTGGGAGCACTAATACCAGTTGCTGTGACACTAACAACATGGCGCTGATGTTCACCACCTACGCAGTGGTTCGTTGAACCTGACAACATTTTGAACATCATGTACAAACAGTATACACATAAATAATTCATGATCTAAATTACTATCTCAGTTAATCAAATATGCCTATCATACCTGCTGAACCACCACCACTTCCACCACCAGCTACGGCACCACCCAACTTGATCACTGACGGGGCCGACGTCTTGAAGGCTGGCAATTAAAGGGTTCTGGATAGTCTACGTACAAGTACCATAGCCCTTTCTAACAGAAGCAGGCTGAAATAAATAAACAAACAAACAAATAAATAAATAAATAAATAAATAGGCACATTATAGCAGAAACACATGTAGTACTTTTACATAAATGCCTCTGCCTCTGTCTCATCATGTTTTAAGCTAAAGATAAAAAAAATACCCCATGAAATACTTCAGATACTCGCTGAAACAAAGTAATAAACTGTACAAGTGACAGTGCCCTTTCATGATGATACAGTGTAGATTCATCTGTTTCACATAAAGCAATTCAAGGCACTCCATTGTAAACAGCCTTTCTCTTTGCAATGCTTTGCCCTGTTATGATGCATATATAACTTGTATTTGAATGATACTGTCTTGAAAAACAACATATTATAGGTACAATTCCCAAGCAAAAATTTGTTCTTGTTTCTATATAAAGAGAAATTACGTGGAAACTCACTCATTACTATTAAGGTATTTCACTTGCAGAATTGGGACAATGCCATAGCTCAGATGGCTTCCCACAGCAGCAGCTCAGGTTTGATCACAGGTCAGGTCAAGTGGGATTCTGGTGGACAAATTGGTACTGGCGCTGGTTTTCTCCAAGTACATCTGTTTCCCTTGGGAATTCTAATTCTACCAAGTGCTCCACCAGTCCCTATCCCGAGCCAGATCAATCCAATTGACAACATCCCATCCTATATCTCTAAGATCTATTTTAATATTGTTCACCCACTTACGTCTCGGTCTACCCAGTGGTCTTCTTCCTTCTGGCTTTCCCACCAATATCCTACATGCATTAGTCCTCTCCCCCTTTCACGCTACACGTCCTGCCCATCTCACCATCCTTGACTTGATCATTCTAATTATACTTGAAGAAGCATACAAATTATGAAGCTCCTCATTATGCAGTTTTCTCAAACACTTCATCTCTCTTTGGTCATCATTAAATAATGAAGTTAAAAAAAGTAGAATTACCTAACTATGTAGATTGGTTGGGGGAAATTATAAAAAATACACAGAAGAGTAACATCTTGGAAAGCAGTCACATAAAAGAACATGATGATGGAGGTTAAATTGTATCATGATATAAACAGGCTATGGCGAATATGAATTTTAACTACCTTAGGGCAGTTCAATTTTGCCTGGATCACATTTACTCCATACAACACAATGGGAACAATAAGAAACTAAATTCTCTGCATCTAGGTCTTACAAGATTCTAGATTTGAAAATATGGGGCATACTACGGGCATTAAAAAACCGGGGCACACGATTTGGAAGGGTAAGAAACCAATTCTCCGATAATGAAGCCCCAAGATTTTTCAATGTGCTTACTAATAGAAACAAACGTGAAACATTTTAGACCGCCTTTGTGGCCTAGTGTTCAGAGTTCTTGGGTTCAATTCCCGGGGCTACCAGATTTTCTGAGAAGAAGTGGGTCTGGAAAGGGGTCCACTCAGACTCGCGGGGATAACTAAGGAGCTATTTCGAGGAAATAACGGCTCCGGTCTAGAAAACCGAAATTAACGACCGTGGGGATTCGTTGCGCTGACCACGTGATACCCTTCTAACCGCTAAAGTTGGCACTAACTTCAGCGACAAGCGGCGGTCGCTCGGTCGGTATAGTTCGCTTGCAGAATCAAGCTACGGAGTTTTTTTCTACATCCTAACTATCATGTTTCCAAGATCCAGTTTTACAGAATCATTCCATCCACCTCAACGTCTTCAGTGTGGCTACTCTCGGAGAGCTTTCCCACCAAATTTCTGTAGGAATTTCTAACTCCCACTTTCTGAGATCGCATATCCTGTTGTCGCTACACTATCAACCCTGAATGACATACTGTTGGGTCCATAACCAGCAGGCCAGGGCAATGACAGAGCAGACATCCGTATACAGAGAAAGCCTATTGACCCTAAAAAGGTGGGTGCTTATTATCACAAATTCCCAAAGGGGCGAAAGTTTTTAGTTTATACCAGATCATTCACGAAATTTAAGTATTCTAATCCATTTTTTCGTAGTGGGTAAAATAAGTCGGCTCTCTCCCGTGCGCACCTGCGGCATCCTTTCAACTTCTGAACCAACCGACCAATCTTCACGAAATTTAGTGTGAACACTATGCCAGTAAATGTCGCCCCACCTCCAAATTTGAATAACGGATAACTGTTAAAATGGAAAAGCGCCCGTATTGCGAATCGTTCTGTATCGCCAATGAAAAAACACTGCTCTAGTTACACATTCTCATGTATAGTGTTGGTCGATTTAACACAATGTTCAGAATATCTGATAATTATTCTGTATGGGTAAGACGGCAGTGGATATACGTTTTAACCCTGACGAATGAACCGACCGCCTATATGTAAAACACCAAGGAGTTCTACTTAATCATGTTCTTTCCCGGTTATTTAACGTCTGCAATGCGAAATACCCGACATCATAAGATCTAAAAGTTTGTGCCGACGGTATATATACATTACAGACTTTTTGAAAATTATCATCAGTTCTGTTTTTTAAACATTTCGGAGACTGGACTGTCTCCGTCCTCCGATGCCTACTCAGCTGTGTTCAATCGATAAAGCTACTGAGGACGGAGACAGAGCCTGTCCCCGAAACGTCATTAGGAGAGAACAAACAGGACAATGAATAATCTCCAAAAAAAAAATAACTGTACCCGATATTATGTTTCAAATGTGTACTCCAAATCGTGATCAGAGACCCCGAGTTGGATGACCAAAATATGAAAGAAAGAAAAAAAAGACATTTTATTCAGAAAACACATCAGCCTCTTTGCTACCAGGGAACGAATTCTTCACATGACCTTCCACGGCGGAGTCTACTCGTACTCAGCGAGACTTTTTTTCCTCGAGCTACGTTGCCATACATCGAAGGTACTCAAACAGCGAAGTTCTATATGAATGTACAAAAGACAACAGTAATGTCAGTTCATGAAACGGCTAATAAATACTTGTAAAGACGCTTTATAACTGTTTACATTTTGCAGAATAAGTTGTGAATGCAAAGCAGGTTTGAAAGAGCAGAGTTAACTCCACAACGGCACTGGGAAGTAAAAGGCTCGTTACAACTTAACTACATATTGCACAAGAATGATGAACCCACACCTCAATGAAAGGCCCTACTTTTGTCTCTGACTAAACAAATGGGGTATGTGATACTCAGGAATAAAAGCTCACTTCTGCAATGTTCGACCCGAACAGACAAAACTGCGATCGTACATTATTCACAAGTTATGTTGAATTTCTACCACCAAGTCGAGTCTTTATGAACTGCATGTGTATAGCAAATTCTTCCTGATGGAGTACTTCGAACTTAATAATTACCTAGACAATGGTGGCAGAAAAGATGTAAAGAAGGAATGCAACCCCCCAAAGTAATTCTCAAGTTTCAAGTGGTTTCCTGCGTTAATGGATGTTGATTAAAACAATTAGCTTCATTCAACATGGCGTCTTTTCGATTATGAATACTGGATTCGTCCACTTACGGACATGCTGAGAGCATGCAAAATGTATCGTTATAAAGGACTAAATATGTGTACGTTGTCGCCTGGGTTATGACACCGTGTAGTCTAATTGGCGGATATCAACATTTCGCAGGAACATAACACCATTTTAAGAGAAGGAAGTACGTTCCTCCGAAACTGCCTCAATGTTCTGATTAAATGAAGCTTCCCCATCCAGACACAACACGACTCTTCCCCGCTATTAACACTCAAATTTTTTATAACATTCTTAAGCTTCTTTCGGCTACTAATTTAGAAGTGGACTCGGTGGAAACCAGTGCATGCTGTATATGTTCCAACGCCGTGTAAATTTAACTTCTAAAACAACTGAGGTCATGACTAAAAAATGTCAAAATTCTTCACTCCTCTCTGCCTAACAAACTGGCAACATTGATTCTCGTCGTCGGGTGGATAAAAATGGCCGCCGCTTGCAATACACTGCAAAGTGGAGAGGGGCTCCGATTAGGAGAGGTTTTTTAACTGCGAGCATGCCAAGCCAATGGGCGAAACGGTGGGTGGGAGAGCATGTGAGAACCATAACAACAGACACATCCGAGAGAAACTGGAGAGAAGAGACAAGATGAGCAATGGGTGGGGCAACAGTTCACACGTAAAATGAGAGCCATAGCGGAGACTACGAGAAATTTGTTTTCATCAAGACATCTGCTATATAGTAGACAGAAGGAAGGCTGCAATAAGAACATATCCGAGACAAGCGAACTGCTGGGATTAATACGCTTACGCGAAATGAGGGGAATAAATAAGTACCTCGGTGCCCGTATTTCTCACTGTTTACAAACATTGACAAATATTTCAGACGACTGGGTATGACCTAAGATGCAATTTAAAAGTACAGTGTAGACTGTCAATATTCTGCGTCTCATTACTGTACTGTTCCAAATCCACCAACAAAACCACTTTACCGAAAAAATGCACATCCTGTTCCAATTATCTTCCTACCAGTGAAGTATTTTTAAAAATGCCCTACCACTATATCATAGAACCGTTCAAATATATGTAAAGCTTTTCTGGTTAAAAGTGTACAAGACATTATTACTATAATCTATTGTGGGACGAGATGACGTCACAGTCATGATAGCCGGGAGAAAATCAATTTATGTGACGAGAGCGAGAGAGAGAGAGAGAGAGAGAACGCGCACGGCATGTCTGTAAGAAATCACTGTCATGCGCAACGGCAAGCATTTGAGCAGGCTCAGCATGCTGCATAGTTGCCTTTACAACAGCTATTTCATATTCTTTAGTCTCCTTCATTTACCAAAAGCAAAATGATTTACACCAAAGTCGCATTTTTTTCACAACCCCACTATAAACCTGCGAACATCAAGCACTACATGTACTTTGAAAAGTATACAGCGATTCCTTTTAAAATTTATATCTATTTTATATCTATACATGTAACAGCTAAGCTTATGTTTAAGGCTAAAGCAAAATTTAACGTTACTTTTACAACTTCAGTTACTGACCTTATAACACACAAATAATAATATGTGGACAGGAAAA